CTTTTCTCTTTTTCAAGCTCTTTTGGGAAAAAAATTGGGATACCCCTGGGGTTGGTTTCAAGTGACCACCCCTGGTTGTAAATGTAAAAGCACTTGATGGTGGCAGCGGATTCTCCAAAAATCTGGGTATTAGTATTTTGGGGAGGAAGTTTTTGTACCAAAGCATGTAGAGGCAAAGTTTTGGAGAGCTCTTGCGGGCCCCCATTTCTGCATTTATTGTGCCAGAGTGAAGAACAGCCTTGACAGACCCCATTAAGGGTGAACAATTCCAAGCAGTTTTAGAAGAAAAGCTTCCATCAGAGTTTCCAGAAGAAACTGAGGAACACTGGAGTCAACCGAAAGCAGCAATCATCAATACCTGTGAGGAAACCATTGGCTACCACATTAGACAGCATCAGGACTGGTTTTTTTGAGAATGATGTTGAAATCGAGCAACTCATCAATGGGAAGAGAATGGTACTTTGTGCTTAGCAGAATGATACAAATTGCAATACAAAGAGAAAAGCCCATGCTAAGGTGAGGGAGAAGTCCAATGTAAAACCAGGAGCACGTTCTTCCTCTGTTAGGTACGCATGGAGCGTATGTGCAGTAGGGCTCCCCTCTCTCGCTCTGAATCCCCTGCACACAATGAAGGAATGCTGCACCTGCTGGCAATCTCCCGCTAAACCATGTTGGAATTAAGTGGCCACCACTAACCTGAGTGTTTGTCAACCAAGGCAGGAAACTGAGATCTCCTCAGGAGGTCATCAAGCCCAGCCCCGTGGCCAAAAGCAGGACCAATCCCAACTAAATCAATCCAGCCAGAGCTTTGTCAAGACGAGACTTAAAAACCTTTAGAGATGGCTGGTGGTTTTTAGTTCTTCCACTTTTTCCATTATGTTCTCTTTCATTTTCCTTCTTTGCTTATTGTATCTTTCTTCTTCATTTGCCTTTCTACCTTTCTACCAATAACTGTGTTCTCACCATTTGAGGATCTTGGAACCTCCCTTCAGGAAGTTGAAGGCTGCTATCAAATCCACCCTCACTCTTCTCTTCTGTAGACTAAACCAACCCAAATCCCTCAGTCTCTCTTCATAGGTCATGCGCTCCAACCCCCTAATCATTTTGGTTGCCCTCCTCTGGAACCTCTCCAATGTGTCCACATCCTTTCTATAGTGGGGGGCCAAAACGTGGACACAGTATTCTAGATGTGGCCTCACCAGAGCTGAATAAAGGGGAATAATCACTTCTCTGGATCTGCTGGCAATGCTCCTCGTAATGCAACCGAATATTCCATTAGCCTTCTTGGCTACAAGGACACACTGTTGACTCATATCCATCTTTTCATCCACTATAATCCCCAGGTCCTTTTCTGCAGAACTGCTACTTAGCCAGTCGGTCCCCAGCCTGTAACAATGCTTGGGATTCTTCTGTCCCAAGTGCAGGACTCTACACTTGTCCTTGTTGAACCTCGTCAGATTTCTTTTGGCACAATCCTCAGATTTGTCTTGAAGGACAATGAAGCCATTAATTTTCACCGGAAAGAACATTTTGAAGATCTTCGTAATTGTAACTCCATGGTTACATACGAAATTCTTAAGCAAACACCCAACGACCTTCTAGGGATGAGCTTGGAGACCCTCCCAATTTTTATGAGGTATACAGTGCCATCAAACAGATGAAGAACAAGGAGGCTGCAGTTCCAGATGGGATCCCCGCTGAAATCTTTAAAGACAGTGGATCAGAGTTAATTTGGCAGCTTAGCCTGCTTATCCTTAAAATCTGGATAAAGGAGGAGATACCCAGTGAAATGAGGGATGTCTTGATTGTTACCCGCTTTAAGAAAGGGGATAAAGCAGACTCTGGAAACTATTGTGGTATCTCTCTCTTTGCTGTTGCAGGCAAAGTTCTGGTCCTTTGCAACTCATCTTCTCTAGAAGAAATTTTACTGGAGTCACAGAGTTGCTTCCGATCATGTTGCGGAACTGCAGATATGATCGTCATTGCATGGCAGCTGCAAGAAAAGTGTTGGGAGCAAAACTAACCACTGTACATGGCTTTTATTGATCTAACTAAAGCCTTTGACTCAGTGAATTGCCCTGCCCTTTGGACTGTAATTTCAAAGATTGGATGTCCCAATAAATACATCAGCGTCCTAAAGTTGCTTCATGACAACATGAAAGCAACTGCTCTGAGCAGCACTGGCTCCCAAAGTGAATCTTTCAAAGTACAAACAGGAGTCGAACAGGGCTGTATCATCACCCCAGCCATGTTCACAGTCTTTATTGCCATCATTTTCTACCTAATTGCTGGGAAGCTCCCAGCTGGCCTTGAAATCATCTACAGAATGGATGGAAAGCTGTTTAGGCTTAGCAGACTGAAAGCTAAGAGTAAGATTTCCATCACATCTATTGTGGAACTTGAGTATACTGATGACAATGCAGTTTCTGCCCATTCTGAGAGAGATCTTCAAACTATCTTGAATGTGTTTGCTAATGCTTACGCATGTCTTGGATTCACCCTCAACATCAAGTCCACCAAAGTGCCATGCATCCCATCTATTAAAATCAATGGAGAGGCACTGGATAATGTTGATCATTTTCTCTACCTCGGAAGTTATCTTTCATCTAAGGCAGATATTAGTGTAGAAATCCAACATCGTATGAGCTGTGCCAGTGCAGCCTTTGCTTGTTTATGGCACAGGATTTTTGAAGATCACGGTATTCAAACAGACACCAAACTTTTTGTCTATCAAGCTGTCATTCTTCCAACGCTATTGTATGAGTCTGAAACCTGGACAACTTACAGACACCACTTGAAAGTCCTTGACAGATATCACCAACGCTGCCTCCACAAGATCTCACGTATGAGCTGTGCCAGTGCAGCCTTTGCTTGTTTATGGCACAGGATTTTTGAAGATCACGGTATTCAAACAGACACCAAACTTTTTGTCTATCAAGCTGTCATTCTTCCAACGCTATTGTATGAGTCTGAAACCTGGACAACTTACAGACACCACTTGAAAGTCCTTGACAGATATCACCAACGCTGCCTCCACAAGATCTCAAAGATCAAATGGGAAGACAGGCGCACTAACATCAGCATTCTGGAAGAGACAAAGACCACCGGTATTGAGACAATGATCATCCATCAACAACTTTGCTTGACTGGTCACGTTGTTCGGATGTCAGATCATTACCTCCCAAAACAGGTCTTGTTTACTAAGCTGAAAGAAGGACACCATAACATGTGAGGACAACAGAAGTGTCATAAGGACTTACTAAAGGATAACTTAAAGAAGTGCAACATTGACGTTGACACTTGGGAGACACTCGCCCAGGACCGCTCAAAATGGAGACAAGTCCTATGCAATGGCTCCCTGCATTTTGAACTTGCCTGCCAACAAGCTGAAGAGGAGAAGAGGTGCAGGAGGAAGGGGAAACTGGCTTCTAGTCATGGTCAACAGCCTCCTGCTTTACTTGGAAGCATCTGTCAACTCCCACGGAAGATGACTATGCTGACCAACAAGTGATTACCATCATCATCACCACTACTGTAAACTATGCTGCCTTATATCACCATGATGCATTCTAATGCAAAATATAGAGCAAGGTTACGTAAGTTACTTGCTTCCCAATTTTGTAGGACTTTGCAAGATAATTTCAGCATTACCAAGTGATTTGCTCTTCACAGCACAGCCCTGAATTCTCCTATATACGCATCCCCAGTAACAGCTGCAAACAAATGCAGCTTCCAAATGAGCTTATTTTAAAAGCAGTAAATACATAGTGTCAGATTCTCAGCTGATGTAAATTGGCCTAGCTCTATTGACTTTAATGGATCTTGGCCAGTTTACATTGGCAGAAGTTCTGACTCATAAATTCAGAATAAAGTAAACCTCTTCTCTTTAGGCATGTCCTGAAATGATAACTGTGCAACGACCGGACAGCTTGTGAGATCAGGACACTTGCCACAGAACTTAGAAATACTTATTGGGCCAAAAACCTAACATCTAAATCACATATGTACTTGTGTGAAATGATGGATCACGCAGATGTGAGCATTAAATTTTGCTCACAGTAAAAAAGAAAAGCAGTTCCGCCTACATACTTCTAGAAATGCCGAACAAACAAATCCAAACAATTCTAGGCTCCAGGGTAGTTAGGACAAAACCTCCTATTGAAAACGTACCTTGACAAAACCAGCAGGGCACGTGCAGTAACGGGGTAAGATATGACTTGACTTGGAGTGGTCACTGCAGACTTGGACTTAGCTGGAAGATTGTTTAGAAAAGAGAAGAGAATGCCCTTTGATATCTTCTTGTGAAAGGGGCTTTCCTAGGGTAATAATACACACATCTTTAGAGTGCTGTCTGGACACTAGCTAGGAGACGGTCTTTGGCCTGAGTTATACAGAAGTTGAACTAGATGATCCTTGCGTTCCCGTCTGGCCTTGAACTCAGTGAACTAATTCATCTTTGCCTAGGTGAATGAGCAGCATTATCTTCATTTTACAGATGAGGAAACTGAGGCGGGAGGTGGTGGTGGTGGTGAAGTGATTTCTCGAAGATCAGGTGAGTCACTGATTGCTTGGATTTGAGCTCAGCGCTCCTTCCTTCAGACCATACTGCCCCTACAGTAGTTTAAAGCACTGTTAGTTTACTTTTATATTGAATTCCATGTCTTTTAAAAAATTACTAGTTCACACTTTTGCCATGAAACCTCTATTTACAGGGTTGACTGGAGCAGAGACCCCAGCTGTTAAAGTTTATGAAGCTGAATCCTTTTTGCACCATTAGTCATTGCACAGGGCACAAACAAGGCTCAGCCTTACCCACATATGCAAACAGCTTAGACGGGAAAGTCCCATAAATTTTCCCTCTCTGAGCAGTGTTCGATGAAGTGATTCTTTTGGTAGGCCCCTTCTACGTGTTCCTCCCACTGCCCAATGGCACGCCTGCATGGCAGACACTCCAGCTTAATTCTTAACATATGTCCCAGATATTTCCATCTTCTTTTCTGGATAACTTTAAAGATAAGAGGTTGCTGACGAATCTTGGTATTTGTTAGAAATTCATTCAATTTAATACCTCATATTTTTCTAAGTTATTTGCTTTTGAAGGCGTTTAGATGTCCGTGTGTACTTCAGTGAATTTCCAGCTTTTACATCCCTGTGTAAGATGGAAATAACATTTGAATTGAAGATTTATAATTTAGCCTTTAAAATTGTAGATTTTCAATGACCAGATCTTGTTTGAACTGGTAAATACAGCTTCTTTCTTGCCAATTCATGACATGATTTCCTTCTGGACTTCTTTGTTGGCTTGCATGTTAATGCCCAGGTATGTGAATTGACTCTACTTGTTCTGTATAAAAGTTAGTTATTATTTGTATGTTATTTATTGTTCTGTTGATTTCTAAATCATTGGCTATTGCTTGGGTTCTCATTATTAATCCTATCTTTTTTGTGATGCTGGACAGTCTTTTGGCCTCTGCTTTGCATGTTGGTTGAGTAGTTGCTTAGAAGAGGTATGTTGTCAGTGGAATTTAGATCTTCTAGAGTACTGATGTTGGGGCACGTGAAGGCTGTTCTGTATCTGTCTGCTTTTTCTCACATTGAAGTCAATAGCAATGCCAAACAAGAGGGGATGTGAGAATGCATCTTCATTAAACACCAGTGCCTACATTTTACTATTTGCTTTAACTGGGCAAACCGCGCCTTGATACAAGGTCTTGATGAAGTTTGCTATTTTTGTTGGTATATCAAACAATTCAAGGGGTGCCAAAATGGACCACAATAAAGACTGCTGAATGCTTTTGGAAATTTATGGAGCTGATTATGATTGAGTTTTGCCATTCAATGTTCTCTTCAGTGATTATTCTTAGGGTGAAAATATGGCGGACACATTGTTTTTTTAGGTGGAAGATCATCCAGTTCTCCCCTCAATTTTTTTAAAACCATTTCTTTTATTCTGCTTAAGATGACAGAAGATTTTGCCGAACACTGAGTGTAATTTTTTGCCATTTGTTATAATCACTTATGATATTACCAAGGAAAGGGGCTCTATTATTTTCCATAGTTCAGGAGTTTTTTTCTGGACCCAGATTTTATCAGAATTGTAGGACTTTATTGATGGTCTCATCATAGCAAGCTTTCGGCATTTTAAATCCATGGCTTGTATTACATATAAGGCTGCTCCCTTTATATCCTTAGCGTGCCCTCCCTCACCACCAATATTTTTATGTTTGCAACCGGAGTAAATTAATCTAGAAGAGACTGGGAGCCAAATTTTCGTCTAGTGTAAAATGGACATTTTCCACCAGAAGAGAATTTGGCCCATCATCTTAGATCTGCATAGTCTAAACCTCTACCTCTTTTAAAATGCTTAACCTGGCTTAAGGATCCTTTCCTCTGAAAGGTCATAAACTCCCTTAAGTGTGAATTTAGGGCAGACACAGGAAATGCTACTTTGGGGATACTCACAGTTGTAGGACATCCATCTTGTTTTTAGAACAATTGATCGTAATGAAGCTGTCAACCCACCTTGAGTGGGTGACGCTACATTCTGAAAGCTAATAGGATTTATCTACCTTGATCTGTCATTCTCCCAGGGTTGGGTTTTGTAAGAAATTCAAATCCTGGAAGTCATCCTAAAATCAGAGCCTAAACCGTGCAGCATTCTAGAGGTAAGATGTTGGTATTTTATTTCTTACAGTTCAGTAAGATTCCCCAGAATCAGGGTCTGAAGAGCTGAATGGTGGGGTTTTGGAAAACATTCAGCATTGGCCTAACTCTGCTTTTATTAATATCTAGACTCCTACTGACTTTAATAAGAGCAATGTTATTACACTAACACAAGCTGGAAAGCCCACCCAAAGTAACTTTGCAAGGGATTTCAGTGCAGCCTGACAATACAGATCAGTAGCTTCGTTCCACAACATTTTTACTTAACTTTCTCTTCTAAGTAAAACAAATACTATCTCAGCGTTTTGCCCTATAAATCACCAGTCTTATAATCAAATCCAGGTGCATGGTCTGTACTACAAGAGTCTCCTGACTAGGGTCATGATAAGCAGATAAAAAAGGAGGGTGAGTTTTATCTATTTTAAAATGTTTTTTAGCTTTCTATGGGTGTTCCATGCTATGGTTCTCTGATCCAGTTGAAAAATCAGTCGCCAAGGAAACGACCATTGACTCTTTCAGTACTCATCCACCAAAAAGATAAATAATGATATTAAAAGAAAACAAACCAGATTTTTAAGAGACTGGATCCTCAATTGGCATGTCATTTTAAAACAAACTACTTTTATTTAACATTGTCACGCAGTGTGACTCACCACTGCAGCGCCTCCTGCTGGTGCTCAGGAATTAGCTCTGTTCAGTGCTGAAGCGCCCTCTTCTGGCTGGTATCTTGCTTGCTGTTCACTGTTTTCTGTTCATGGCTTCACCACCCTGTGTTAGGATCCGTGTCCCTTCCAGACCGTAGCATCCTCCCTTTTGGATACTGCCCTGCTGCAGTGCCCCCACACTTCAGGGTCCTCCCCCTCAGGAAAACCCCAACCCCTTCTACCCACCTTGTCTCAGTGAACCACTGCCAGTCATCATCTAACCCCTTACCTCAGGGGCAAACTGCAGCCTGACATGGCCACTCATTGGCAAGGGGTGTGGACCTGCTGCCTTCTCCTGCCCTGGCTGCCTCCTTGCTGCCCTCGTACCCTCAGGCCCTGCAGTCTGGGAGTGAGATCAGGCCAGAATTCCCCAGCTCTGTTCTCTCTCAGGAAGCCTCTAGCTTCCGGTTACCAGCAACTTCTGGTTGCCTACCACTCAGCCTCTCTAGACTGATTTTAACCCTTGTAGGGCCAGTGCGGGGCAGATGCCCCCAACACAAACATACAATTAGATTGCAAGCCTACCTTGGTACAATAACTTGCTTTTTCTTCCATCTTTGTAACATGACTTCAGGGACTGTACAACATGACCTCCCTGGATAGGTTGTTATTAATGGGGACTGAACCTGGGGCATTTAGATCTAAAAGCAGGAACAATCTACTGCCTAGGCTGAAGAGACAGCGGGAAACAGAAAGCCACAGTGTAAATCTGAGCCACAGTTCCTTTTTTAGGCACTTATTAGGCCTCTGTAGTATTTGCACCCCTTGGAATCTTTAATCTCTTTATCCTCACAATGTCCACATTTTGGAACTGAGGCACAGGCTAAGTGAGTTGCCCACGGTTCCACACGAAGTCTGTGGCAGAATAGTAAATAAAATCCAAATCTCAGGCTAGCTCCCCAGTTGCTAGATCATCCTTCTTCTTTGTCACTCCTGTGATGCTCATTAGATAATAATAATATTGTCTTCTCTGCTATTACCGAGGATAGCTAAGCAAATTTCAAATACAGGCAGTCCCCGGGTTACATGGATCCGACTTACATCGGATCCCTACTTACAAACGGGATGAGGCAACCCCGCACTAGCTGCTTCCCCCCAGCAGAACAGGGAGACACGAAGCTAGTACCTCCCCCCCCCAGCAGACCAGGGAGACGCGGAGCGGCTTTTCTCAGCAGACACCTCAGCTTGAGAATAAAGGACTGAGGGAAGTGAGGTGTGGGAGAATAAAACTGACCTCTGGAGAAATGTTTGGCTAGAGTTTCCCCTACAATATGTACCAGTTCCGACTTACATACAAATTCAACTTAAGAACAAACCTACAGTCCCTATCTTGTACGTAACCCGGGGACTGCCTGTAGTATTATCTGTGTGGATGCTTTGTATGGATGAAAATTATAATGTTTATGGATTTTTGCAGCACTTTTTACCAAAGAATCTCCTAACCCTTTATATCGGGGAATTATTCCTCACAGCTCCTTGGCTAGATAGGTAAGTAGATTTATTCCCATTCCACAGAGAAGGAAACTGAGGCTCAGAGAGACAAAGGGCTTGCTTATGATCTTGTTTACAATGTTTTTACTCTATTAGAATCAGGTTCCCAAGCTCGCCTAGTAAATCAGTGTCAGAGTGGAAAGCCAGAACCCAGGGACTTGTTGGCATTAGTCTGAATAATAGACACATCACTGTGTAATGCATGATTATCACGAGGGCTAATCTGTTAAAAAAAAGACATTCAGTGTAAAGGGAGTGATGGTGTTATCCATAACTAACTGAATAGCCATGATTAAGTGAATTGCGTGTAATGACCAGCCTTCTTGGCTGACTCACTAGGACTCCCGAGAGCTAAACACATGATCTAAAGAGCCAACGTTCCATTGCTGGGCTGTAACAAATCATATCTTCTGAACAACCCTACGGGGAGGCGGGAGAGGACCTGTAACATACACTCCCCACAGGGGTACAATGTATGCTGATATTTGGGCCTTTGTTCTTGGAACGGATCCAATGGGCTTCCAGGAGTAGGGTGTTCAGATATGCCTTAAGGTTGACACTGGCTGGGACTTATGTTCCTAAGTCCTTCAGGAGCATTTGAAAATCTTCCTCACAGTTTTGTGTTTTTTTTTTTTAAACATAGAAAGGAAGAGGCTCTAAAAATGTGATGCAGTTCTCTCACATCTGGTCTGAGTCTTGCCCATGTGTATCTTGAAGTAGTTCTGAATGTAGAGTAGATGAGTCTGACTCGTTTCTTTTGCCAGTGTTGATTGCCCGTGTTCATTTATAAAATATTATTTGTTAGAAACTTGTGTGCCTCTGTTTCCAGGGGTGGGAAAAAAACTTTTAATACACCCACATCTATTCTGTCTAGTCTTTTTTTTCTTTTCTGTCTTCTATGAAAAATGTATAGGTCTGTTCAAAATTCCCAAGTGACCCATAAACCAGGTCTAATTGTGGATAATCAGTGCCTGATATTTGTGGCTGGCTGTCAGTGTCGGTTGTTAGAACAGTTGATGCAGTGGACGGACATCTGGATGCACCTTGGGAAGGAAAACAAGGACCCATTGGTGCATATTGCATTTCAACAAGTCACAAGATAAGATTTATTACAAATACTACCTTTCCTTAAGAAGTTACCATGGTATTTCATTACGATAATGTGCGTATTTGGAATTATAGTTCACCTGCAGTGAAGCATGGAACTGTATGGGAGAGGGGAGGAGAAATTGCTTTGTTGCCTAAGAAGACAGATACTTTTGCAATTCATTGCTCTGTGGCTGAGCTGCATGTGGTGATCATTTATTGAGGGACAGAAAGATAATTTGGGCTTATATAATCAGGGCTCTTTATAAAAGTACAGTATAAATGTAGCTTCAGGAGGTAGCCGTGTTAGTCTGAATAGGATAAACTTAAAAACAACAAATGGTCTGGTAGCACTTTATAGACTAACAAAACATGT